CTTGATAGTAAGAAGTGAGAACATTTGTTATTTTTGGCTAAGATGAAGGATGGCTTAGGATAATCAGTTATGTGGGGAATCTGTGAGTTTGTTATTTGGGTTTCCAATGGAAATTTGTAAGATAAATGATGAAGCAAGTTTTAAATGTTTACTGTGGCTATTGAGGAAGAAAGAGGAAATAGTAGGTTCAGTCTATGGGAATAGATGATAGAACACAATGCTGGAGAAAGGGGGCACATTGACTTAGAAAAGAAAAAGGAAAAAATGGAGAGGAGAGGAAGGAAGAAGGCGATGAAAAAGAAAAAAAGGGATAGTGGGGGTCCACCTTAAATGAGAAGGTTTTTGTGAATAAAAATAAATAAGAAAAGAAAAAAGAACGAATCGGTTACAAGAAAAATCGGCCATCACGTTGGAAATTGAAAGAAATATAAATTATTTGGTTATGGCCCAAGGTGTAAGTAATTTGACTGGGAAGAGAAGTGATTTTAATGATGAGAGACAATGAATTGTGAATTGAATATTTTGGATTTTTTGAAGATAAAAAGGTTTATAATGGAATTAAGTTTGCCTTGAATTTATGTTGGATTAAGTATGAACTGGTTCCATATTGGATTATCTTTTCACGTAAAACGAAAATTGGAAAAGTGTACAACCCAAGTTTATGACCCGGTTTGAAGGATTTGTGAGTGGTTTATTTTATGAAATGTTTTTAAGATACCTAATATTATAGAATTTCAAGAAATTATATATTACCTATGATTTAGAATTAAAGTAATTATGTTCCTTTGAGAATTTTAGAAATGTATTATGATTTACAGAAATGTTTTATGATATTAAAGAAATGTTTAAAGCTTATTAAAGGTATTTAGAAAGTGATTTCAGAAAATCATTTTAGAATTTCATGAAATGTATTTAGAAAGAAATATTTGAGAATTTGATTTGAGAAATTTTAAAAAAGCTCTTAGAAAGAAGAAAAGAAGAATTTTAGAACAGTTTATGAGATTTAAGAATTTTATACAGAAAAAAGTTTCCAAACCACCATGTTATTGTATATTCCAGGTGATTACTCGTATGCTATATGAATTTGTTTCTATAGTATACCTAGAAATAGAAAAGTCTTTGAGACCATTTTACTCCGTGCGTTGAGAGAATTATTTTGCTGTGTGATTGATATTACTACACGCTAGAATATGGGTACATGTGTGGTGTTGAGTTTTTCATAGCATGTTTTATGTTTGAAGAAGAATGTTTTACATATATTTTTTTAATGTGCTTTCAGAGCATATTGAGAAATTGGTGTAACCAAGTTGGAGGGGACACAGGGAAATGTCAGGGCCATTAAGGCCAAATCCGAATTCCAAATACTGGTCCGAATCTTGGGCTTGGAAGCTTTGCTTATTGGTTGTTCTAAAAGTAATGTTGCAAATTTATTATGAGAAAGTTCACTGAGTTTTTATGAAGTTTTTAACATTACTTCATTTTATAATGTTTCTAAGAGCTTGAATTCCAGTTGTCTATGAAAGAAGTTTTATGAGATTCTTTTCCTATTAACTTACCACTCACTGAGCTTCCCAACTCACACTTTATCCTATGTTTTTCCACCAAGTTGTATATGAGTTTGAAGGAGAAAGTAGATTAGCTTCTGCTACCTGAAGTAGTTCAAGAGTTGCATGACACTCTCTATGCAGTTGTGGTTTGTTTGGATCAAGTTTTATTTGTATCATTTTGTTGGAAAATAATGTTTCGAATGGATGTAAGAATGGTTGTTCTGTAAAGTTTATTATTTTATTGCACATCCATTCAGAGCTTGTTAGTCAAAGTTCAAGTACGAGTTAAGAAGAAAAAATTTACCATGGACTCCATAGTTAGTCGGGGTCTGTGGTCGGCGCGACTTGTTCTTGGACTAGTAGGTGCTTTGGGATAGGTCGTGTCAATTTGGTATCAGAGCATAAAGGTCATTCATTAGATGAGAAGTATATGTACTACATTATAGAAAGTTTGCATTAGATGAGAAGTATATGTATTACATTATAAAAAGTCATGCATCGAGGTGGCAGAATGCGTAAGTTTTAAGAATTTGAAACTCAGGGTACTGCTGGCAAGCAAAACATAAGGGACGAAGAAGAAGTTAGTAAAACCAGTCATAAGAAAAAGAGACCGTGAGGTTAAGAACATAACTGCAAAAGTTAATTGATGAGGGTTATATTTGTTTAGAAAAAGCAATTGTTGTAGTTGGTTATTTATGCAGGAAGTCTAATTGTTCAAGAATTTCGCATACTTCAATTAGTTCATCATTGTTGAGTAGGTTAAGACATTGGAATGCGTAAGTAAAAGTTGTTGATTATGGAGCTTTATTGACCCAATCCCAGATAAGATTTATTTTCACAAATAGAATTGTGGAAGCTCAACTAGGGTAATCGTTGATTAAGATAAAGAAAGATGTAAAAGTGGTCAGTAAACAGATTATATAGTGTTAAATGATGAAGTTTTGGTTATAGAGCACTCATATGTATCCAGTATTGGAAAAATAAAACAACATTATTGGTGGGTCAGCATAAAGAAAGTCGAACTCTGATTTGTTGGAATGTATTTAAAGAAAGTTAATGAGGTTATTAACTAGAGTAGGTACTGCAGAAAAGGTTACGATAAGTAAGGCAGGCTTCATTTGAGTCAGGAAAATGCAATCCCCCTTTCGTCTCGAGCTAACCAGTCACCACCAACCAAAAACCACTCATCCTTCCAATGCTTCACTGAGGAAGGATCCATGACAAGGACTTGGTTTCAGGAGCTAACATAGAAATGGAAGTTATCGTCAGGGCTATGCTTAAGGTGATATAGTGACATAAAGGTTGCAGCAGACAAAGGTTGATCACCCCTGAGATAAGACAACAAGATAAAACAACTGATTAATGTAGATCATCCATTAGGAACAATTTGGGAATGAGCTACTTGATTGAAAGCTAAAAGTTTTGAAGGAATAAAGGCACCGGTAAGCGGACTCCAAATTAGAACATGGCCGCATAAAAGATGACCTCTCCAGGGAAAGATCCATCAATACTTTCTCCCGGGTTTGGAAGATGAAGGCTAACTGAATCTGGAATGTGGTATTTCAGACGTAAACGACGCAAATCCCTTGTCGTAAGGGTAGAATTGTCAAACCAAGATGGACGGAAGGGCACAGACCCGAAGGAGGAATTTGATGACGACCCATCATCCGAGGAAGTCCACTCAAAATTAAGACCATCACCGGACGCCATGAGAATAAGGCAACTCAGAAAAGGGAGGATAAAACAGAAAATTTACCTTGAAGGACATGAGTGATTGAAATTGGAATGTGTTGGGGGGTTTATATAACCCCCGAATGAAAGAAGAGTGCTCGAACCAGTGGTCTTTAACCACTAGGCCGAGAACTGCTCGACTCGTCTCCCGGAGTGACTGTCGATCCGAGACCGGCTTGACACAATCTCTGAGAGACACGTGACCTTCACGATCACGGGTACGATTTGACACAACAAAAGAGTGAAGCCAAAAGCTACTTGACACGCTGCACGAGACACCCATGATCTCCTCGGTCAAGGGGAAGATTGACTGGCGTTTTGCTGAACGCACGCACTAAGCGTGGTAACAATTATATAGATACAAGCGCACACCTGTCAGAGTAATATAAAATGGATGGAGTATCCAAGTATCGATCCTCAAGGACTTCTAAATAATTTCCAAACTCTAAAGTTTTAAAGAATAGTGAATGTTGGAATGAGTGATTCTTGTAAAATGGGAAGTGGTCACAAATAATGGTTTTGGATTTGGGATTTGGACTTATAATGATAAAACCTAGCCCGAATTACTTCAAGTTAGCCAACAAAGAATCAAGGACATGCTAAGGACAATATGCATTTTACTTTAGAAACCAACGACTACGCTTCTCACTTGACTTATGTCTAAGCAAGTTCAATGTCCTAAGACATTCCTTAATATGTCTATTATGAGATATATCTTAGTTTTAGGATGGAAATAGTCGCAACCTCGGGTTAAGGTCCTATGTCTAGGCTACTTAAGCGGAAC